AGTTGGTGAACATTGTGCTGATTGGTGAATTTGTACTTCGCAATTGGTCCGGGTCATAACAATATATATATATATATATATATATATATCTATTTGTGACGATATATATATATATATATATATATATATATATATGGCCCTGGCTCCATTTCCATTTTGGGGAGCATCAGTCCGGTTCCTTTTCCACCGGCAAGTCAGGAAAATAATTACATCAAAGAACACCCTCATGCTTCCTTCCGTCTGGCCGAAGGAACCCTGATCAGCATTGATTGCTCCAACATCGTGGAGGATTGACTGTCAGCTTGCCCTAGAAAGGACAAGAGAAGAACTGGCTGTATGGCGTCAGTGGGAACTGAGAGGACTCCAGATTAGAGCCAGATTGACCGACCTAGAATTAAATGAACAGATGTCCAAACACTTCTTTTCCATAATAAAGGCAAACAACAGATCCAGCTCAATAGAGGGTCTTAAAGAGCTGACAGGCCAACAGGCAACTCGCACAGATAGTGAAGGGATGCTAGAGATCGCAAAGAACTTTTATAACGAATTGTATCGATCTAAAACACCAACAGTCACCCCCTCCAATACCCGAGCGGCAAGGTCAAAAATGTTACAATACCTAGAAAGGACAATATCTGAAGATCAAGCTAACAAATTGGATCGACCGTTATCCATAGAAGAGCTACAGTTCGTGGTTTAGAACATGAACAACAATAAGACCCCAGGCATCGACGGACTAACAAAGGAATTTTGGGAGAAATTTTGGCCCCAAATGGGTTCGAACCTTATGGATTTCTACAACGACAGTTGGGAGAAAGAGGGTATGGCGAATTCCTCAGTACCGGTGTGGTTACACTTCTTTACAAGAAGGGTGACCAGGAAGACATCAAGAATTACAGACCAATATCCCTACTCACACTTCCCTATAAAATTTTTGCCAAGGCCCTAGCCTTCTGCATATTGGACGTAACAGACAAATGCTTCCACATAGATCAGTCGGGTTTCATACCAGGCAGGTATATCCTTGACAATGTAATGACCCTCAACGAGGCTTCCAAGAAAGTGATGGAGAAAAAGATCAGCACAACGATTCTCTTCTTTGATTTTGAAAAGGCCTACAATCAGGTAAATTGGGACTTCCTCGAAGCGAGTATGGAAAAAATGGGGGTAGGTCCCAACTTCAGAAAATGGGTCCGAATCCTATACAACAATGCCTCAGGCTGTGTTCAAATCAATGGTTTGCTGTCCAAACGCTACCCTATCTCCAGATCAGTAAGACAGGGCGATCCGTTAGCACCGCCTATTTTCCTATTCGTTATGGAAGCCATAGCTTCTTTTCTCCGTAAAGACCCATCTATCCAAAGATTGCCTGAAATGAATGTGGGCTCCGCACACCACGTCGTATTTCCTACAGTAATCATGTTCGCAGATGATTTAACGGTGTTGATACGAGCCTCCAACTCGTCAATGGCAGCCTTAGTCAGAGCAATGGAAGCATTCAGACTGGCATCAGAAATAAAGATAAATTGGGTAAAGACGATAGGATGGTGGTTGTCTGAAGAACCCGTCCCACTACTTCAAGGACCGGAGAAACAGATGTCCTGGGAGAGACCAGAGATACCAACAAGATACCTGGGGATCCAAGTGACAAAGGACGCCCCCCCCCCCCAGATGGCACAGAATCTCCTAGCCGGTCAAATCAACAAAATGGGGAAGTGGAGTCAATCATTTACGTCACTACTGGTAGGGCACTTACCATTAACACTTTCATCTTCTCAATGATGTCGTACATAGCTTCAATCTGGACTATACCAGACCAGACCATCAAAGATCTGAACAAGAAAGCCAGAGCATACTTATGGTCAAGGAACCCCAACAAAGAAAACTACATTCCAAAGATAGCTTGACACTATATCACAAGAAAACCAACAGAAGGGGGATAAGGCATTATTGAACCCAAACAAGAAACGAAATCCCTGCAAATTAAGTGGGTCATTAAGCTTCTGACTAAACAAGCACTGCCGTGGAACAAATTAGCACTAGACAGCACCAGGAACCTGGCTCCAACGGAGTCCCCCACTAACATGTCTGGACTGTTCTGGATCATGAATAAAGACTGGAATCCAAGATTAGGGAGGAGAAGACTCAATACTCGCACCCCCCCAACTCCTAACCAAGCACCTCCCCCCTATTGGACAACCCTTCTACGCATTTGTAGAGAGATCATGCCCGAGAAACGAAACAAACCCAGGTCCAAAGAAGAAGTGCTCAGGCAACCTCTCTTTGGCAACCCCTGGATCAGGGACGAGGGAGACCACCTGTGGACTCTCTCCCACAGAGGCAACAGATGGCTATCTTGGATCACACATGGGATCTGGCGAGTAGGGGACATATGGAACGACGAAAGGAAGAACTGGCTGGACGAAAATGAGCTCAAAGCCCGTCTGAAAGGCTGCCACCACAGGGATGAAGTTCTGCAAAAGATTATACAGAGCATCCCGGGGGGCTGGGTTGAGCTGCTAAAGGAGGAATTCACGTGGAAAGCGGGTGAGTGGGGAATCCCAATCCAGGACACCTCCCCTGAGAGGGCCTACCAATTCTCCCATCGAATATCTGGCTCAAATCCAAGAGACGTATTCACATCCTTCCCGATAGTGAAGACTAAGCCAGACGAACCGTACATCCAGAATATCAATCCCGAAAGAGAAGTTCTGAATGCGTTCACGCTTCGTAAAATAAGAACATTAGGACTCTGGCCAAAACATATATTTCAAATAGGGAAAGCTATTCAAGACCTCGAGTTCGATCCCTCAGAATGGGCATGGCCCTCTGACAGAAACAGAACTACAAAACCACCAATCCCAATATATGATTATACAGTTAAACTAGGGTATAAAATGTTGTTAAAAACAAAAGACCCAGACCCAATAATCAAAGGAAGATGGTGCAAGCTAATTGGTTCTGAGGCAGACCAGATAGCAAAAATTCCTTGGAAGAAATGTAAAACGATAAGACCCATAAAAATCAGAAGCATGCAGTGGCTCATAACATACGTGGCACTACCGGTCAACCAATGGCTACATGTGAGAAGGAAAAAGAACAATCCACCCAGCTCGGGTGTCTGCACATTCTGCTCAGACCAGGAACAGGAAGATTTGATACACTGCCTAATTAACTGTAAAGAAGCCACAGATTCTTGGGCAAGAGCAGCAACCCTTTGGGACAGTCTTTTCCCATCTCCCCTCCCGGAACACCCCCTCCAACTGCTCCTCTGGACTAATTTACCCTCTAATTTTGGTAAGCCAGAGAAAGTCTGGTTCGGGTTGATATGCAAGGTCACGCTATGGGCCATATGGAAAGAGAGATGCATCAGAACTCTGGACAACACGAAGAACCCGCGGGAGAAAGTATGGGCAGCGACCAAAGAGCTGATTGAAGCAGAAATCTGCTGTCATTGGAGGAAGGTCAAACTGTGGGTGCATAACAATCCAGAGTCAGAACAGGTGACTGTGGCCAAATTCAAACGGGTCTGGTTGGTAGGGGAAAAAGTGGCAGGGCTAAGTGGGCAGGTCTTAAGATGGAAAGAGTGGCATAACTCCGTCAATTCTGTTTCCCAGCACGCGGGACAGGCTGCAGCCGATGTTTCACATGAGATATATCACAGACTTCAGGCGGAAGGAGGTACTCCATTATGGGCCCAGAAGAGCAGCCAAGACTTACGTGCAGCAGGCAACAGCCTGTTGTCTCTCATGGATCAGATGCAAAAGATCAATCGTGCCTAGGGTTTAGGGTTCAGGGTTGAGGCTTTCGTTTTGACAGGAACAAAGACAAACAGGGTCCAGAAGGTTAGGAATTTCATGAGGATCAGCAGCGGGGTTTTAGGTTTTTAGACGGAGTTGGCAGCAGCCATTGGAGAGGATGGGTTGGTGGCCAAGTTTTTTTCCGCTACTCTGAGGGCCGTTTCCAGCATCAATTTCCTCCGTTTCTTGTCGTTGGTCATTTTCCTTGATATTATAGCAAATGTTTCAGCTAGCTTGAGGTAGCTTTTTTGGAACCAGTCCCACCTGTCCTGACCTGTGACAAAGCTTCCTCTAAGATTGTGCCAGCTCGTCGACATGCCTTCTTGAAATTCTTGGCTAAGTAGGAGCGAGTTATTCAGTTTGTGGAAATTGCGTCCCTTTTGGATATATTGGTCGAAACTAATGATCAGCTCAATAGGTTTATGGTCCAGGCCTGGGTACAGCGCCAACGCCAATATTTCCGCTTCCTTGACTGTCCCCATGAGGTGGTCGGAGATGAGGAAGTAGTCTATGCGAGAGAATGTTGTGTGGTGGACGTGATTTTTCTTAACAAGGGAGAAGGCTTTGGTAGTAGGGTGCAAGGTGCGAAAGGGGTCTACCAGGTTGTGGTCTAAGATGAGTTTTTGGACTGGAGCTGCTTCTTGAGAGGACTGTGGTGAGGTTGCTCTGGATATACGATCGTTGACCGGGTCCAAAGTGGCATTCCAGCCTCCCCCAATTAGGCATGCTTGTAAGGGCGGAATTAGGTAACCTATGGAGTCAATGAAAGTAGATCTATCGTTGCGGTCGTTGGGAGCGTAGACACTGATCACTCTGAATTCTTCTTCTTTCCATCTTAGGTTCATAAAGCACCACCTGCCCTCGATCTCATCAGTTCTTGTGTTGATTACCGTCCCCGCACCATAGAACTTGGAGTTCTTTGGGATTAGTATTGCAGTTCCTTTCCTACTAGAATTATTGTCTGAGGACCAAACTGCATCCTTGATCCCTCCTACCTTTCTCATAAAAAAATTCTGTATTTTTTGGTGATCATTGTGGTTCGTTAGATGAGTCTCTTGAAGCATTATAATGTCCGCCAACTTGTTGTTTTCCTGTTTGAGGCCTTTGATTATGTCATTTAGTTTATTTTCCTTGCTTAGGATGTTTCCTAACCCATTCACATTCCAACTGCGTATGGTGATGCCTTGAGTCTTCCAATTGGGTTTGGGGGCCTGTTGATTTGCTTTATTCCTAAACCCCTCCATATTGTGGACCTATAATTTTAGGGACAGACAAAATTCTCGTTCAGGAGGCACCCGGATCCGTGGAGATTGAGGTGTTCAGACCTGTCACAGGTGGGTCCACTTTGATTTTCACCCCCAGATCATCGATCTTGTATTCTCCTATGCTGCCACTGGCATGGTTCCCCGGGGAGCCCAGGGGGTCCTGGTCTATGCGCTCATCGCCAGCCCAGTCCTCCATGACCTCCTCCTGGAATTCATCCCTGTAGAAGCAGTCCAGATCCATGGCATAAGCTCTGGTTTCCAAGTCTGCCTCCCCGTTCAGTGTGCCAACTCTAAGGATGTCAGCCAGCGAGGCTGCAGGCAGCTTCGCCGGGATTCCCAGACCTGACAATACACTGTACGGAATTGCAGTAACTGTGTCCCATGATCTCCACATCATGCCTCTTTTCAGTCTTGTTTTCTCAGGCATCTTGGCGATCAGGGGGGTGAAGGAGCTTTGTCTGGAGTCCGCTGGGTCAGTAAGGGTCACTCGCTGATCCTCATGCAACGCTCCCATCTCTTGTCCCCCTGAGAATTCCGCTGAGCCTTCGGTTTGATACACACCCAACGGATAAGTGTCAGTAATTTTTTCACGGATTACCGACACCAAGTTCTGACCCTCTTCAAATAACCGGATCGCGAAGGAGACTTCTGTGGCGACTTGCCATTCACCGGTTCCCTCTACATAACGAGCGGCTAACAGCGGCTAACAGCGGCTGCAGTCCCATCATAGTAAGTCTGGCCGATCTGGCTTGTTGAAGTACATGTGGGGCTTTACCCTCAGCTATGTGTTGCAGAGATGTGAATTCCGGTTGGTATGCAGCATTGAGCTTCTTCAGCTTTTCTGCTTGGGCCTCAATGACTGCGAGTTCCAACTCAAGGTCGGTGCGTGCTGTTTTCTTAGCAGTTTCTGTCTGACCATGGTTGAGATCCTGCTTCTTCTGTACTTTTGCAGCTTTCCATTTCTTCGGGCGCAAATCCTGGAAAGGATCGTCATAATCCTTGTTGTTCTCTTTTGCATCCATCTGGCCCTGTTCTCTGACTCTTTTCTTCTCTGCGTACCTGAATGCAGCGTACTCTGAGAACTCTTCTTCTTTTTCGAGCAACTCGTATTTATTGGAAGATGATTGGATGCCCGCGATTGTGCCCTGTTTCAGATACCTCTCTATGTGTTTTAGGCACGCTGTTCGGATGTTGAAGAGGTGTTCCCTCTCCCTCTTTGCCTTTTCGATGTACTCACGGAGCCATTGAAGAGACCTGTTGGGAGGGGGAGTCTGGTCGCTGATGGGGGCAGAGCCACTTGAGCTTTTGCTGTCATCGCTGTCCTCTTCGTCCATGGCAAAGTCCGAGTCTTTAGCAGGCTTCTCCGTTACACTGTTTTGTGGGCTTGCAACTCCGCCTTCAGTGCCTTCAGCGGTGTTAGCCCTCCTCCTCTTTGAATCAGCCTGTCCTTTCTCTCTGATCGGGCTGTTGTCTAAGGTTCTCTTGTTCTCACACTGTAGGTTAGCCGCTTTTTGCCCGTTTTCAGTTTTGCTTTCGTTCTCTTTGAGCTCAATTATTTCCTGAGTCCGCTTTTGAAAATTTTCAGGTTCCTTGCTGTACTCCTGTTCGGCCTGTTCCCTTATTGTCTCTAGGTCCCAGAGCAGGTCCTCCCTTGCTTTCTCCTCCCTAATGACACGGGACTCATTCAGGGGTATCGCATTGATCTTCGTGGGATTACCTGCTTCTTTCCCTGTTGCCTTTTTTTGCCACCTGCTGTCGGCCGGGGGGAAAATGTCCGGCTTCTTGGTTGTGGCCTCCTTGTCTGAGTAGTGCCATACCCAGTCAGGTTCCTCTAGATTATCGTCGAACACCCACCCATCATAGGTAGAATCCACTATGAACCATGTGCCAGGGGCATCCTCTACCTCCACCAACATGTTGGGTAGGAGCTTCCTTTCTTTCTGATTCTTTGGAAATTTGGGGCAGTGTGGATCAGTACCGAGGTGACCACGTTCTCTGCATCTGAAGCAGAGTGGCGAGGTCTTTGTAGAGATTTGGATGGACAGTTCTCTATCCTGAATTGCGAATTTCCATTCCATCGGGAAGCCCGGTGGATCATCAGTTTTCACTTCCAGGATTGTTGTCATCGTGCCACAGTGGGGAGCCAGAAACTCCGGCGTCCATTTAAGGATTTTGTTCACCGGGTATTGTTTCTCCAATCTGTCGACCAGCAGTCCATGAAACCCTGGCTGGATTCTATCAAACTGCACCCAGAAATTCTCCTTCATCAGCGTTTGTTTGTATGAGACTGTGTAGGTAGGATTTGGGCGTTGATTCGTTTGCTTTTTCCATGCTGCGATTGTGCAGACTGAGCCATTACAATTCCTTGATTTCATTTCAGACGCTATCAGCGCGTGCTTCTCATGGTTGAACATCACCATGATTGAATTGCGACCCAGACGTTGTCAACCACACTCGAGGTCGTCTTGGTTGTCTGAGAGGTCCGCATCACCGCCGATGAGTAGGTGGCGGCGGTACGACCGTTCTTGGGGGCTTGCATTCTGTTGTTCGAGAGCAAAAACTTAGTGCTTTACCCGTAGAAGAGGAGGAGAGAGTTTATGGGGAGTGGGAGCAAGTTCAAAGTTAGAGGATTCGGGGCAGATGAGAGGGGGGGGGGGGGGGATCCCCCCGTTTTTTTTTTTTTTTTTATAGCAAGAGAGGTGTCAGGAAGCGCCGACTGTATGGGGGTGGAGTGGAGTGACTGCTTGGATGGACGCGAGGGCAGTGGGTGAAGCGAGGGATGGGACGAGATGAAGATTAGCTTCACGCTCCGAAGCTAGGCCGTATATCGCCACGCTGGTATGGGGGCGAGTTCCTGTCAGGGACGCTTGAGTATGGGACGGGGAGGGGTTTGGAGGTGCTAGGGTAGCAGGGGGATGTTAGTAGGAGGTAAGGAATGGGTTGGGAAAGGGGAGCAGCAAGTGGAGGGCGGAGGGGGTTCACACCAGTTTGTCTCGTTTTGCCCTAAACTCTGTTCCAATATCAATCTCGACTGGATCTGGACTTGTAGACAGGTCTTGTGCTTGTCTTTCTTGTTTGTATCTCTTGTTGTATCTCTCTTGTTTGTATCTTTTGTTGTATCTCTCTTGTTTGTATCTGCTCTTGCTGTCGTCGAAAAATCTTTGTCTCTTGTCGGTCGCGGGGAAGGATGCTGTACTCTTGGCCTCGAACAGGGAGGGCTCTTACTGAAGTCGCCCTTTCCTCTTCAGGACCGTGCCGAATAAGTTTTTGCTGGCTCTTGTATTTGTTTCCCAGTGGGCCCCTCGTCTTTCTGTCGTGAAGTGTAGTCCTCCCATTTTTTCCGTAATTGGAAAAAGGCGAAACGACACGAAATCTAGAAAAATCCGCCGTGGGCTCTTCAGACTTAGACTTAGAAAGTGCCCGAATCTTGAAACTGCGCCTGCTTCTCTCGGTCCTCTGCTTCCTCTCGGATCTCTCCTGTGATGCTGGGAGATCCTCCTTGGATGAACGGCCATATAGAGCTACTATCTGTCCTCTACGAGTAGCTGTCCGGAGCGCACTCCGACCTAACGTCTAGATAGTGTTACTGTCCGTCCTCTTCGAGTAGATGCACGACTCTGATCATGAAACTCGGGTGCATCTCCTGGAAAACGGACGGCTAGATTGTCTCCTTTTGAGCGATCAGACATCCGTCGCCCTCTCACGGGATGAATCTCCCCGGGATGAGCGGTGAGATACCTCGATGCTACAACTCAGCGCCTAGGCGCTATATCGCGCGGCGCCCCCGATGGCTCTGCCCCTAGCGCTAGCGCGCGATGGGCGAGACGCTCGACGGTGCGGCGCTCGACGGCGCGACGACATGAGAATCAGCGCATCACCCTAGCGCTAACCTGCGGCCAACTTTCAAAAACTTTTAATATTCAATAAGAATCTTTTTTTTAATTGCTGTCTGTCTTCAATTTTAGATATCAAACTGATCAGAACAAATACTACACTTGATCCTAGTCAAAAGTCGACCTCGTTTGTTCTAACTGTTGTCTGGTTGTGAATGTTTTCTCTTTCTTTTATCTTCTTTACTAACCCTGTTTGTCTATCCTCATGCACAGGGAGAAACTGGAGTGTTTACTATGTCAGCTGCCTGGACAATACTTTGATCACAGATTATCTCTGCCCAGTTTGATTATGCCTTATACCCTGCTTGCAAACTGACGTGGCAGACTGCCACAACCCCCCAGCGTACTCCTATCTTTACTACACCGCAGATGTCAGATGTCAGACCAGAGAGAAGTAGATAGAATCGAACAAGGACCCTGACCACTCTGACGCGACCAGACCCTTCGATCCTAATCAACCAGACAGTACACCAGGTGACTAGACCTGACAGCAGCTGCAGCGACCACCAGAGAGGAGAGGTTGAGGTACAACACACACACACATGCAGCCAGGTAAGGGGATGAGGGATTCTTCTCTCTTTTGCAGCTGCCGTTGATGAAGACTCCTCGTCGCTCCGCACTCCAAAGCTCCACGCGAGGTAAGTAATCTTCCCTAGCCCCTTCCTCTTCGGCCTCCCTCTCTCCCCTATCCCAATCCACCTCTCTCTTTACACCACCATAGCCGTCATCTTCAAGCCAGCATATCTTCCTCGCTGGCCTTACTCATGCCAGCGCATCAGCGAGCGCAACGAGTCATGCTCCGATACTAAATTGCAAGGAACCTGACTGTTCACAACTTGCTGGAGTGTTCAATTTGCATGCACATTCGTCATCACACAGATAGGATAGCCTCACACAAAGCCAAAGTCGAGATGAAATAGGAACCAGATAGCGCAACTCATATTATCAAATTCACATTATACAAGAGTATCTGGAGTTCAAAAGTTCAGCGCCAACAAAATGCAAGTCTTCTTCCCTCATTCGTCAGCATAGGACCTGGCTCAGCTAGCGTCACCCTTCAGATCACAAGTATGGCGCAAACAGGTAAGTATTCACCATATCCCACTAACCTGTCTTCTCTCTCTCTTTATCTTCTCTCTCAAGATCCCTGTCGTGGTTCCCTTCTCTCACTATGCATGCACACTCCTTGTCCACGAGAATCTACTCTGAATGCTTCTCACTGATATCCTGGCCAGCGCCCAGCCCATCTCCCTTCTGGCGCAGCTATGGCTTCCCTGCAGCCAGCGCCCAGCCCATCTCCCTTCTGGCGCAGCTTCTTCTGCCAGCGCTCCTCCCTGCACTATAGCGCACAAGCGCCTCAGCACTTCCACGCATCAATGCCAATGGGAAATCTGCCTTGTGGGGAGGCTGCCTCGTCCTTTATAGTGCTGGCCTCCCGTTGCGAGGTCTGAATTCAGTCTGTCTTGGGTCATTTCCCAGTCCCAGGCCTCTGTGGAGTGTGTCCCAGTTCCTTATCCTCAGGGTCCACTGCTGCTGCGCCCTTCAGGCCTCAATTTCGGACTTTCAATCTGTATTTCCTTCAGGCCTCAATTTCGGACTTTCAATCTGTATTTCCTTCAGGCCTCAATTTCGGANTCGGACTTTCAATCTGTATTTCCTTCAGGCCTCAATTTCGGACTTTCAATCTGTATTTCCTTCAGGCCTCAATTTCGGACTTTCAATCTGTATTTAGACTCTCCCTTTGACTTGAATCTTGACTGGGACTTCCCCTTTTGACTTCCTTTGAACAGACACACCTACTGCTCGAACAGACACATTCTGCACGAACAGACACACATACTGCACGAACAGACACATCTCCTGCATGAACAGACATGACTTGCACACCCCCTGGATGAACAGATGTGACTCCCATATCTGAATATTGCAACTGTTCGTCCAGGGGCACAACTGTGACCTTTGACATTGACTTTTACTTAGCTAGGATGTGACTTTTGAACCAGAGAACATGTCCTTTGATCTGCTTCCACGAGTTGGGCTCAGGGCGAGTGACCCCACTCTGCTGCACTCGTCAAACAGGGTCTGAATCGGGTAAAGGCCCTTTTACAGAAGCCAGCCAGCCATGTCCAGCTTACTCATGGACTCTGCATAACCAGAGAGAAACAACCCAGGCCAGACAAAGATTTGAATCCCTGAACAGGTAGACAAACGTAATGACACACCACAAATGCACCTTCCCATACGACATTTGAGTCCCTCTAGACTGCAGGAACTAAGGGAAATATCTGGTGGCCAGCAATGCAGAGAGGAGATTACACTATGCAGCCGGAACTCACAGGAAACAGGAATGGGTTAGCGGGACAGCGGGTGAACCGTGGCAAACGGTGGAGCCAGTTTCTAGTCTTTAGTAAAAAAAAAAAGAAAAAGAAAAAAAGTCTAAAAAAAAAAAAAACAGAAGAAGAAAGGTAACACCTGGGAAACAAGGAGAAACGGAACACAGGTCATCTCAAAAAAAAAAGTTTCCAACGTGCTCGGCATGAGTCTGGTGAGGGGAAGACAGGACATTGGGAGAAACTTGAGTGTGGTCACAGAGAAGCTAACCAGACCCATGGCTTCTGAGGAGATGGCCTGCAGGCCATTTGGTTGGCTGAGATGATGCCTTGTGACTGATATTATTAGCAGAGAACAAAGGGATGGGTCCATATGATCTGACTCATTGTAGCATACACAACTTTTGTCGCGGTGAATTGAAAAGGACAACGACTGTTCATTACATTCTGTGTTTCTTATTGACAAATTCAGGGTGCAACTGAAAACCGAATACAAGGAACTGGACACAACTTGACAGGAACTGTAACTTGAGCTTAGGGCCTTCTGTCACTCAGAATGAAACAAGCACGCATGCAGTGGGTTGGGCTTATAACTGATCCTCTGAAGCCATCCTTACCAAGAGCCATAAGAAAGAAGCCACGTTAGCAGAAGCCAAATCATCAGAACCACAATCTGCACGCCGTAGTGTTAAAGTAGGACTCTGAGATGAAGGGTCAACATCCCAGGCAACATATTGTTAACCGCCCATGTTGTAGTTCATGCACCGAGGACAGCGAGGAGTCATTTACTCATCATCAATGTAAACAGTCTCTTGCTTGAAAAGACCACCTAGAACACTGGTTGTGCCAGCTGGCTTAAGCTGAGGTTCAGCCTTCGGGCGTGAGGGAGGTTGTGACACCTTTGGGGTGGGTCTCCGCTTTGTACTTGATTCCTGGCTTTTCGTTGCGGGCCTCAGAGATTTCCGAGCTGAAGCAGCTTCTTGTGGTTTATCATCATCATCAGCTCTCTTTCCAAGCTTGGGTGCCCAGCTTCCGAGGTCAATCTTCCCTGGGGTCGGGAAAGCAGGCAGCTTTAGAGCCTTCTTCAGTGCTGCTGCTGGTGACTCCTCTTCAAATTCTTCTTCTGTGGCTTCCAGTGTTTTCTGGGAACCGCTGGCAAAGATGGCCCCAAGGTTCAGTCCAGAACCAGCTCTCGTGCCCATGAAGCTGAAATTGAAACCTGTCTCTTTTGCCTTTACTGATAATTCCTGAACCTCACTGGAAGCTGCTTGTGCTTTTGCTGCTGCTGCTGCAGCAGCAGCAGCTGCCTTTGCCTCCATTGCTGTTAGTTTCTTGGCTTCTGCCTCAAGTTCTGCAGCAGCCTGCAAAGCTGCTTGAGCCTGTTCGGCAGCGGCTTTAGCATCCGCCTCTGCCCGTGCCTTGGCTTCTCGTTCACGTTCCTCTGCCTCAGCCATAGCTCTGGCCTCCTCCAGAGCTTGCCGACGTCCATCAACTGGGAGAGCACTGTACAAACCGCAATCAGGGGGCAAGGTTAGACAGGAACATTTACTGCAAGTGAGCACAGGAATCAGTATAGTACATCTGAGCAAGCCGAGGGAACAGAACAAAGGCCACCCTACAAGCAGCAGGCAAAATCAGAGCTGCAACACATGAGAAGAAAATACTGCCAACACACCAGTCTTAAAATTGTGGCAGTTAGCCTCCACCATATGGTTCCCCCCCCCGAAGCCTTGAAATGTTCAAGGGTTGAGTCAGATGTTTCTTATGGACAGGTGATACAGACAGGCAGACGTGTGTATTGAAAGCTGGTCGGCGCCCCTCAATCGGTCGGCAACTGACCAGCCCACCGGTCCACCTGTCAGCACCGCGCAAAAAGAAAAACAAAAGCGGGACCAACATAACCCCCCCAATCCCCAATAGTCCCCCCATGCCCACCCCTACCCCTCCCCCCCGCTAGCCCCCCCCCCCCCCCTTCCTAATGGAATTAAAAAAAAAAATCAATGGATGAAGTGGGTAAGGGTAATAAACTCTTACTTCGCCAGCACCTCCCCTGCATACGAATAACTGTTGATATCATAAGACAATTAACCCACGCCCAGACCCCTCCCAATATCAAACACTTTCTGGTTGACGGCCAAAGAATGGATGGCAAACAGTAAAAACCAAAAGGTACAAACAATCCACAAGCAACTCAGGACTCCTAAGCCCATCCCGTTCTGGGCTTCAATCCTACTGTGGCTAAATTGCTATCTAACAAACACAGCAACCATGCATAAAAGAGGAAGTGCTCAGGCAGCCCATTTCCCCCCCCTCACTACTTGCTGAGTCTGAGTCTGAGTCTGTGTCTATGTCCTCCTTTTTTTCCAGTGTCCCTTACATCTGGTACACACTTTCAATGTTGCCCTTCGTTATGGTGAAGGGCCCCTGAGACCGCAGCATTGATGACTCCCTTTTAAAAAGAAGGATGTACCATCACTCAACCCCAGCTTCGCTTTCCCTTGCCTAGTTTAATCCCTGAGAGAAACTACCTTTCCCTGTGCCAGTTCCCAACGACAGCTGATCAAAGCGAATGCGATCTGGGTGGTCCCACTCTGACCACAATTGAAACCAGTACCAACCAACATTGACCTCTGGGGCCGGAAAGCGGTCCAGCTTCCCTTGACCCCCCCCCAAAAAAAGACATCTAGAGCTCGAAAGTGGGTCCAGCGTCCCTTAAAAGCCCCCCAAAATGACCTCTAGAGCAGGTAAGTAGGTCCAGCGTCCCTTGAAAAAATCCCTTCAAGGCCTTAAGTGAACTATTCAACTATTAAATAAATTTCTCGATTTATGCATGTCATCGGAGTCATCCATTAAATTGAGAAACTTATTCAATAGTTAGGTATCGAAACCTCCATATCCCTTGGTCAATATACTAGATAAAACAGGCTACCCATGGGTTCTGTGTATAAATTATACTACCTCTCATTTGTCGATCCACCTATGCTTGCCAACTTCCCTCCCAGAACAACCATTCACCTGTTAGTATGTGATCTATGGAAACTGAGGCTTCTCAGCCCGCGACCTTCGTGATTTAAAATCTCTTGTCTTCCTGCCACTTTTACCATCGAGTTGGCTATTCCCCGTCCAAGAGTTCTTTGCCTGGGTATGTTTGTGACAGCGTATCTGATTCTGAGAGGCTCCACTCGCAGCAGGTGAGTCTTAGGCGACTGAGGCACCCTTAATGTTGCCTATGGCTCCATGTAACAACCGTTCCTCCTCAAATCGCTCGCACATATCGTCTTTCTCAGTAGAATCGTGTTCCTTGTCCATCATCTTATTGTGCTACGCCACACTGCTGCAATCTTGCAAGGTCACATGCTTGCCCCAACCTCTCTCCTTACCCCATGCAAGCCGCCACCTCTAGATCTTTCACGTGCACACAGGCCATCCCCAGCCCGCCCCCCCCCTTCTCCCC